CAGACATCTGGATCGGACCAATGTGTGCTAACGATTTCTCCATTGCAAGCATTACGATTCTTGCCCATCAATTCGTCGAGCAGAGCCGCCTGGGAAGCGAGAGCCATCGCGAGAGAGGGAGCTCAAGGGCAAACAGATATGACAAAATGGCACCTAATGCTCAAAGCCCAACAAGCTCAAACAAACATATATCGTTTGTAATTAAAAAAATTAAGTAAACAATTTACTTTAAACTTCACGAGGCAATTAAGTTACATTAATATAAGTGGCGTCTTTTTAAAAGCGATCAGGTGATGTTATGGTAGTTCGTCGCTTGGGCCTCGTGTACGGGCCGATGGGCTACTCTTTCGGTTAAAATTTCATTGTGTTAGTATATTAAAAAATATGGATAATATCACTATTCGAGTCAATTTACGAGATATAAAGATTGCTGGCATGAAGGAAGACACTGTCGTACGAGCAGCTTTGGTAATCTTAATTGCGATAATTTGTAAAGTATATTGGATCCTTTCCGGTTAAAGACGCAGATCTTTCTGTAAGGACAGCTGCTATACAGAAACAGTTGGAATTAATGAAGGTACTGTTTTATTTATCTAAGTTGAGCATGCAGGTATTTCATCGGAGCAAGGCAATTCTTATATGCGTTTCAATTAGTGGTATTAAAATATGCCCTGCATCAGGGGAGGTAAGTAAGTTTAAGCTATGACTTCCTCAGTGCGTATACATGGCTCACGCGCTTAGGCGAATATCTTACGCTACTTGTAAGCCAGCACACAACCAATTTGCCTTTTTGGCTCGAGAACCGAATTCTGAAACAAATATGCAGTACTGTCATGTTTTTATTACTGAATTCAGCGATCAGGTAAATTTTTGACTTTTTATGAAAAGGACTACATATGTTTCGATAATATAACTATTAAGTTGGTTATTTCACTAACTTATTCTACATAATTTATAACAGTTTTATTTAGTTCAGTAATCTATATTTAATAATTCAACGTTGTAAAATAAAAATTAATATTTGATCAGCAATTATAAGCTAAAATAGTATGGAGAATCATCTTATATTAAAACCACGTATTTTAAAATTGTATCATTGCATTATTGGTTGCTTGGTTAAAGG